CTGCAATTTTTTATAGAGCTCCCTATAGTAAGGACCAGGTACAAATTGTTTCCTCATCACCGCCTTCAATTCATCCCAAGTATTTATAGGCCTCTCTCGATTTCGACGCCGTGAAATAACCACTTGATCCCACCAAGTGATAGCGTAATCAACGCAATCTTCACCTTCTTATCCTCCGAATAGCTTTGGCAATCAAAAATCAACTCTACCTTTTTCTCCCATTCTAAATATGCTTCGAGATCACTCCTACCCTTAAATTGTGGAATCGTCATTTTTACATGACCCAAATTACCATCAGTCTCACCTCTATGATTATTTCTACCACGTCGTTCAAACATATAGCCTCTATGCCTCCTTCGTTCAATCCCATCCCTTTCATACTCATCTTCACCACATTCACTATCGATCTCATGTTCATCCATCCTAGGAACTTGCCTACCCGCCCTCCTATCGTGAGGTACATCCGTCGGTTATTCCCCACTAAGATTTACCATCGAAGCATTCAATTGCTACATCCTTGCTCCCATATCCATCAACAACCGTTCAAACATATCCATCATATCATCTTGCAATCTGGTCTGGTTACCGTTTCTGCTGGAATTTGAGCTTTCCATATCTGACATTCTCTCAATTTCTGCCTTACCAATTTTCACTCGAAATCACTTAATTGGCTTTTACCCTATAATAATTTCACACTCTACCTTTTACCACTCAATGCTTTCACCAAGTGCTTCCAAAGGCAACAATGAACTCACCGGATCAAACTTGTGTCTTCAAAAATTGAATGTGTGGATGATTGTGAATCAAGAGAAGTATAGAAATTTTGGAATGACAATGGGAAGAACATAAGAACAAATTGGATGACAATGAAAAAACACAAGAGAATTTCAACTATAAATTTGACTCAAATTGGATTATAAGAACAAATTGATGATCCGAAGTTTGTAAAATGTTGGTAGTAAATCAATCAAACAAACCTCAAATTTTTTTTTCTGTACGGATGAACAGTACCGTACGTGAACAGTAAAAAAAATTTTAAAACTAATGAACATTTACCGCGATGAACAGTAACTTTTTTTTTAAAACAAGATTATTCTACCATAAGAAATTTATGGATCTAGGAATTGGAAACGAAGAACGACTCAAGAACACGAAGAAACTACGAAAAAGATGAAATTTACTGACTCAACAAGAAAATAAAGGATATAACCTGATAGAATTGGAGCCAAACCTCTAATACCAACTGATGCGAACCCCGTAGCAAAGGTGACTACGAAATGCTCAACTAGATTGATGCAAAATCCAAGAACGTCAATTAGATCTGGTTTTGGACTTGAACCTAACGAAGTAAACCAAAAAATCCAACAATAACAAAGATGCGTTGAACCCCTTGACTACACAATGAAGAACCTATGATCCGATAATTTGAACGCCACAAGATTTAGATCTTGATAAGTTCGATTGATTGTTCAAGGAAGAACAAAGAAAGTAATAACCTCTCAATGATAATTTGTCAAAAGTCCTAATACAATGAAAGTTTTTGGTATTTATACCAAACTCTAGAAACTAGGTAAAAATATGCATAATCTCATAAATAAGGTAAGAGATTGACTAAACATAGAATTCTAGTAATTATGAAAAATTCGCAGAAAAATAAATTTTCTAGCAGATGAAAACGGGCATAACTTTCAACTCGGTTGTCGGATTTTCGCCCATCGGTACATTCTAGAAATGGTACAAAATTCTGCACAAGGCTACGCAGGCTCATGATACTTTTAGGCTTGCAATTGCACAGAAACATGCCGAGAACAATTTGCCGAGAATCTTAATTTTACGCGAATTTCCTTATCTCGCATAGTGGAACTTTTGGCCTCCGTCTTCAGCTGCTTGAATCAAATTCATCCATCCCGATTCCGGCCTCGACCCCAACATGGAACTTGTTCCATTCTTCGTCACGATAGCCATATCGGCAACCGTAGCTTGAACAAGTAATGCCATCGCTTCTTGCACTCGTTTTGCCCTCGATCGAGTCATCGGTCCTTTGTCAACTATCAATGGATCTTTCCGTGGACTTGTCATCGTTCCAACGGCACCTTGGATCATATCAGTACCTTATCGGATAGCTGGTGTTGGTAGAGTCAAATTTAAGTTGTTGGATAGGACATTTAGAATACTTAATCACGTTCGACATGTTATAGATTTGAAGAAAAATCTCATTTTGTTGGCTACTCTTGATTCAAAAGGGTACGAGTTCATTGGTGGAGTGGAGGTAGAAGTGGAGGTGGAGGTGGAGGTTTGAAGGTTTACGAAGGTGTCCTGGTTGTATTGGAGGGGCAAAAAAGGTCCTAGTTATACCTCTTGCAAGGCCGAGCAGAATCATTGAAGAACAATCAACACATGTTTAGTATTGTGGTGGATATTCAATTAGTACCGTTGGGATTTGGTTTGGGGTCTATGTTGAATAATACAATTCAGTCGAGTTCCGATGATATGGATAATGCTGCTTGCCACCACCTACGGTGCTATCATAATCAATTGCCAAAGACAAACCGAGTGAAGATATGTACGGGATACTGATTTCGTTGTGCATGCTTTAAGTGTATTTGAAGGTGTTGAATCTAGCAAATTAGGGCCTTCTACAAAAGCATTCGGTGTTGATTCTGTTTCAGGATGTGTTGATTCCTAGTTGGATATCATGGAAGAGGTAGAGAAGTTTTGGTTTATTGGAGAAGTTGGTTTGGTTCTTGTTGAAGAGTTATGTTCATTCCTTGTAGTCGAATTCTTCTCCAGGTGGAGAAATTTTGGAGTTTCGTTTGTTGCAATGGAATTTGTGTCAATGTGGAGATTATTGGGTTTGTAACCCAAATTCGGTTGAGTTTTTTTTTTTTTGAAAATATTGTTTCTTTATTCCACGTATTTGTTATTGGAAAAATATTGTTTTCTTTATTCCACGTTTTTTTATTGAGAAAATATTGTTTACTTTATTCCACGCATTTTTTATTCTTGTCTTTGTGTTTATTTTGTTGTTGTAATCAATACTTCATATCGTACTGTATAACCTCGTTCCATCCCCAACAAATAATTCTCCAATAAAATGAAGCCAAAGCATTGAAATTAAAAATTTCAAACACCAATGGCTTTTTATCGACTGAGATTCCAAAATTACTTTAATATCATTAAAAAAAGTTGTGTAATCCAACTTATATGAAAAATGTTATTTAACACCAATGGTGTTAGAATATCAGTCTAGGTTGCCGCACCTCATAGGTTCAATTAAAAGAATCATATGCATTTAAGTGAATCTTGTTGGGAAAAATTAAGGTGCATAAATTATATTCCAATAACATGCATTTTTCATGCATAAAGACAGAATTTCGACTTATCGAAATCGAATTTATAAAGTAGAAATAAGAAATGCATTAATAAGAATTCGGTCGAAGTAAGAGTTGAACTCTTTCTCCTTAAGACGATAATGTCACGCATGAGTGCTAATGATTTTCGTGTATTCGTCTCTCAAGATACAACGATCACATCTCGCAATAAAAGCACTCCAAATTAACGCAGACCAATGAACCTACTTGTATTTTGAACTCTCTTTATATAAAATTCGAGTCAAAATAAATGCAAAATGTTTTGAAGTAAATATGCATTAAGATGATAGTGCAAGAATGAATTGAAATGAATGGAAATTTCATACATTGGGGTCTACATATAGTTGTTGAAAAGTTGTGTTCAAAAAACATAACCCTACAAAGGTCAGAACTATTGGAAATGTCTCTATATGAAAAGATGCACCTATTAAAAAATAACAATTTCAAAAGTCATGATCTTTCATATGAAAAGACACATACAGTACTAGAATATTCTAAAATATTCTGCATAATTTTTCAATAATTCACGTATTTAAGCAGCTTAGTTTCTCAGTCACCAAATAATGATTTCCACTTAAATAATCATAAAAATTGGTCAAAATCAATTTTCTATACAAAATTCCAACAAATCTATCATTTAATGTCACGTGGTTGCCTCATAAACTGGTGTTTGATACCAGTAGTGCTGAATATGATTAGTCAACATATATAGATAATTTTTTTGAGTAATACTATTTAGCCACACTAGGATTATAACTCCAATCTATGTGGTGTTAGGTGATTTTTTAAATGAAATGTGAAATTAAATGACTTATTTAATTGTATTTATCATTTAATATTACATTAGTGCTATATAAATTAGGGTTATAACTCAAGTACTAAATTTTTTTAGGATATGAAGCATCAAATTTATATACTTGTCGGTCCAATTTTAGGACCATACAAAGATCATAGACTCTGTAATGGAAGTAATAACCCTTTCTTCTGATGATATACTTTAGTTTATGATCCATGAATTACCCTTTGTCAAGATTGACCCTAATTGAAGGGGGGTTTCATTCAAATAAACCCGAATCAAGGTCTCACGATTTACAGACAATGTTGGATATTTGTGAAGACAACTTCTCCTCTTAATCACATTCATATAAAAGAAATCTTTGGTACCCAATCATGGATGACAACTTTATTTGGAGAATATCACGTGACATTCTGTCATTGAACAATTTTAATAAAAAATTATTTTTGTAGCCAATATTTTTTTGTGGACAAAGTTGTCATCCATGATTATGCAAATAATATTATACTTCGTATAAAATCCAACCTTCAAAATATGGCGCGAGAACTTGGACTATCAACTTTGTCTCTTATAAGCTCAAGAGCTGAAGTCAAACAACCTAAGAACCAACCCCAAAGAGACGGCACATGTCCACTCCAAATAGTGAAAAAAGGAAAGAGAACATAGCAATAGGAAGATGGGGCCCTCAGGTCATGTAACAAATATGTCTCCATTAGTTCATACAATATTTAATGATATTGATTGGATGACAAATAGTGTTTAGGTCGAACTTCCATACAACATTTGAGCGCCGCCCGCCTCCAGTGCCGCCGCCCATCAATTCGCCAACCACCATGTCTACCCCTCCAAACAACCACCACCACATTGACATCAACCCTTCGACAATTTTCGAACCAGTAGTACTTCAAGATGTTCCATCTGAAATCCAAGAAGACTCAGCAGAAAGTCAACAGGTACAACCCCAAGAGCAGCAGCAACAAATGTACAATCTCCAATCAATCAACTCCACCATAGTCATCAGGCAATTACCCTCTCAAGGCCTCTCCTTCAAGCTTTGGCCTGCCGCCACCACTCTAGTCACCCTCCTCGACAGCAACCAAAGCTGCATCACCAACTCTATCTCCGTCGTCTTCAACGGCAGCGACGCAATCCAACACCGCCGCATCCGCATTCTTGAACTGGGCTCAGGCACTGGTGTAGTTGGCATTGCAGCAGCTGCCATACTTGGTGCTAGTGTCACAGTCACAGACCTCCCTCACGTGCTGCCCAACATGCAGTTCAACGTCGACGCCAACGCCAAAACATTGAAACTCCACGGCGGCGCAGCCGAAGTGGCAGCGCTTTCTTGGGGTGACACTCAAAACATGGAGGCCATAGGAAGAGAATTTGATATGATAATGGGGTCTGATATAGTGTACCATGATCATCTATATGAGCCTCTCCTTGAGACCCTCAAATTCTTTTTGTTGAAGAGTGAGAAAAAGATAGTGTTTTTGATGGCTCATTTGAAGAGATGGAAGAAGGAATCTGCGTTCTTCAAGAAGGCTAAGAAGCATTTTGATGTTGAGATTATACACAATGATGAACCCTCCAGTGGATCTAGAGTTGGGGTGGTTGTGTATCAATTTGTTGGGAAAGTTTGGTGCAAAATTAAACCCGAAGTCGACCGTTCTTTAACACGGCCGATTAATGTAAGAGTTTAAACATGTTTACTTAAAAGCAAGTCAATTATAAGTTATTTATTGCAAACACACTTTCTATATCTTTAACAATTTAAGCTTGTGGAAAACATAGCTTACAGCAGTGTGAGTTCGCCACCACACAAGCATTTCCATTGATTTTTGGAAACCAATATTTTGACGTACAAATTATTATAACCTTATAAATCATGACAATACTTGCATGTAAGTGAAATCTATTCAATAGAATGGTATAAATACACTCATAAATTCGGCAAAATAATTTAGTTTAGGTAAGTATTTGTTTTACAACAAAAGAAACTTTCAACTAGCACAATGAAACTCCAAATACAAAACCTCACACCATTCAAGAATGCAAACCTCACTTTCATGCAGAATGTACAAGATCCTCGATGTATATTTCTCGTAACTTCCAGCAAACAATAGCAAGCTCTTTAATCATGCATTTATACTGAAGAGGTAGCGGTTCTCAAATAAAAGAACAAATTAGGTATCACTTTCCATGGCTCGCGGATCACATTGAAAATTTTACTTGCCACACGCAGAGATGGTGATATGTTTATTCGCCAAAAAAACAAAAAATACTCACTATCATCTCTTCTGCAACGAGGACCCTTTTACAACAGCTTTCATATTTTGTGAATCTTTAAAGCATACAAAGTGCACAATCGTCTTGCCATTGGGATAAACTGCGAAGACGCTAGTACCTATCTTTTTGTTGCAAAGAGAGCACATGCTATCGCTGGTGATCTTCACAATGTTCTTCCTTTGTTTATAGAGTTCGTCTTTTACCTGTTATACACCATCAGATATTAAATGAAAAGACTGTTGCAGTAAAACCAGAACAAAGTAAATTCAGATAATGTTCTGGAAAAAAATGAATATTTAATAGAGGAAAACTTTAGCTTGGTTTCACTCCTCACCATTTAAGACCAAGCATACTAAATGAGTTCTACGCATGCTCTCAACTCAACCAAAACTATCTTGTACAAAATACACAAGGGAACCTAAATAACAAATGGGTATTTCACCATGGACATTGGACTGAAAACATACTAAAGCCATCTAGGATTACACTATTAACTTCTCAATTTGCCTAATCTATTGTCAGAAAGAAAAAAAAAACAGTTCACATCATACAGTTTTGAGTAAGAAAAGCCACCAGCCATGCCCCTTTTGGTTAGCACGGCATGCTTCATAGAACAGAATATAGGGAAAGGATGAGAATCAATGTATGAAAGAGAAGTAAGTTTTTCCTGGTTATACCCTTGAATATTTAGCAGCAAACATACCTGTAGGTTTTCACTCTCTCTCAAGCTCTTTATCACTGAAAAGTTCCGGTATGCTTCACTGGATTTCCTCAAAAGTGGTCCAAGGAAAGGAAGCAAGTTCTGCAGAGAACACAGAAGGAAACTTTTTTTACCATGATGGGAAATTTCAATAAACATTTACTACCAGGAAGAAGCAGTTTTTCCCAAGAGAGAGAGAATAAATATGTATTATATAGCTCATTCATCCCAGTGAACACTGGAAACCTAAAAGATGCAAGAAGATACATATTTCATACCGTTGTTGGTAAGGTACCAGGTAAGAGTATTACCTTCAGCTTAGTATCCCTAGGAAGAAGCCTTAAGGCCTGTGCTCCATTTATTCGATCCCATCTTTTGCTCAACAAATCAAGGACCTTATCAAGCATAATGTTAGAAGTTGCTTCCTCGCTGACATCATCCCCATCACCATCACCATCCACATCACCATCCCCATCACTCCTCCCACTGTCAGTACCACTTGCACTGGTTCGATTGTCCTCAGCTCCTTCAATTTCTGCAATCTTCTTGGACAAACGGCCTTTATTTTTACCAGGCGCTGTACCAAGCTTTGGGATTCCAGGGCTCTGAGCAGATGTCAAATTAGTGATTCTTTTTTCGAGGTTTTTGGTTGTCTTCCTAGGATTCAAATATATTTGCAGTAGAGTTAGGTATATGCCACTAGATTTTGCTGAATGTTGGAGTCCAGACTCATATATCCGATCACAATAGGACAGTGCCAGTTCAGGAACATGAAGCTATAAATTACATGGAGAGAGGAAGAGGTTAGCATTTTTGAAATGAAGAGTTGCTCCAAGGAAAAAAAGAACAAAAAAAAAGAATGAACAAGATCTCTTTGCACATGGAACCAACATACTACATTATATGTGGCACGCACAACGGATGCATTAAGCGCCTAACATATTCAGCCAGATAAGCCGACTTAACAAGTTTAGCAACTCAGTCGAAGAACAGTCCTTGTAGGTTATGATTTAGCATAGTATAATCTCGTGCATTGAGGCACCACAAAGTTCTTGATCACTAAAGGGCCAACAGCAAGCGGCTGTTTATAATTGATCTGGCTGAAAAAGGTACATGTTCGATCTTATAGACAGTATTCACTTGCTGATATCAAGCCGACCATGCAAGCTTCAGGACAATCTCAATATATTCAGAGCTTATACTCAAGAAAACTAAGAGATGCACGCAGGAATGCTAATAATATGAAAATTTCAAGATAGACATGCATGCTGCATCAATGCATGTCTCCTCGGCAAAGAGCATTACAGGACAGAAAACTTCAGCATGAAAAAGTACCTTATGAACGTATATGGACAGAGCAAGCTCATGTTGATTTATTTTTCCCAAAAGAATTGCACGCTCTTCATACAGAGCATCTGGGGGAAGACGCTTCAACAATACCTCTGGGTTATACCCAGAGATACTATCCAAAGCAGACAAGAGTTTCTTCCTTGTAGGAGAATATGTTTTTTCATCCCATTTTTGCTGAGAACTAAGATCTGAATACCAGTCAAGCACTTCTGAGAGATAGATTTGAACCTGCCATGCATCAGAAGATACTGTAAAAGATAATAATCATACCTAATAGAAAATCACGGTATCAATAAGAAAACAACTAGTTTGTTTGTAGGAACAGGTGGTATACTTAGAAGGGGAATTATTATTTTTTTCCAAATTGAGGGGAAAAGGTTTGCAAACTTCTTCTAGAGGAGCAACCCTTGGTGCAAAGTCATCAATAATTACCAGCATGGATTTTCTTTTATAAAACAGGAAGTAGTATATTTTTCCTTAAAACAATGATGTAAATTCATTACCATTTCATTCTGCAGATGGCCTGAAATGCTATTTTCATTCATTGCAAGCATAAGTTCCAAATATGTAGCCTGCATATTCGGGGCATTCTGTTTTAAATAAGAGTTGACCAAGTCCGCTGGAATCTTCCCCGATAAAAATAGCTCAATGGTTTGGGTTGGACAGCTTTCAAGAACAAGCATGGAGAACTCTAGCACAAGAATGGGGTCTGTCCCACAGAGAGGCTGCAACAAAGATATAATGAGAATCAGTGATAATTATCAAAAATAAGTACTCGCCATCCTAATAAATGGTTGTGAAGAAAGAGAGTGAGTGGTGGAGGGGACATCATTGGAGAACAATGTCGGGACAGGGTGAGAAGTAATCACAAACCTTGATACTAGAGTAGTCAAAAGACAAGTTTTCCCATAACATACACACTGCATAATAAAGGTACCTCCACATTATTATGCCTAGCATGTTGATACCAGTGGATTTATTATGTAAAATGCAGAAACACACAGGTAGTCTTTAAATAAACTAAAATGGTAATCATATATGTTAGACATGATGTCATCATAATTCAACATTGATCTTCATTTATTACTGAGATCACTAAATCTACATTTTCCTCCTGCAAAGACTGAAGCTGGAGATGGTGTAGCATTTCCTAGTAAATATACAGAGATTGGATGCCTGCAAAAGATAATTGTCCATATGTACAACACATTATAATACTGGTAACAGAAAGAACAGGTCTCGAGTCTATACAGAAGGAGACAGCTGAAAGCCAATTATTGTGTCTTTAATACAATGCCTAAAAGGAAAAAGAACTACAAGCCCAAAGCATCACATTGATATATCTACAAATGCAACAGTAAAGACTAGACAAAAAAGATGAGGAATAGTTAAAATAATTTTAAATGGTAAACCTGTCATTGTCTTTTTGTTTCAACACATTCTATTCAGCTACCTTGGAAAAGTTTACCAACAAGTTCAGTTTAATAATCTAATTTCTATCCGAACCTGGGAACCCAAATGGCTTCATAATTTTTGACCACCGTGATATAACAATAGCACCATAAATGGTCCAATAGTATAAGTCACATCTTACTTTGAGATATTCAATAATCATCTCGGGCTTGAACTTCTGGGTGAGCTCTGGTGGTGGATGGTCTGAATTTGAGTCCTCAATTAGTTTATGGAGAAGTTTGAGAGCTTCGCGATGCATTGTATTGCATTTGTAAAGTTCTAGCAGACACACATACTGATTCCTTTTTTGCAGAAACTCCTCGCATATTTTTACATCACAGTAGCTGATACCCTTCAGCAGTTCCAATGCAGCTGAACATTGTCCAGTTAAAACCAAACCCTGAAGCAATGCAGTGTCCAGTGTGGCTGCCATATCCCTAGCAACTGAACTGATTGGAACGTTTGATCGTCCCTGTGAAATCCATTAACAAATTAACAATAATTAGAGAATAATTTGGACATCTAGGTTCTACTTTTAGATGTTGAATGGCTATCTAACCATTACTGACATAGTCAAATTAAGAAACATCATTTCAAAAGTTAGAATTGGTGAATCAAATATACTAGTTTTGTTTAAGAAAGCATCCTGGAGCACTGTAGCACATAATGAGCAATAAATGTTGAAATTTGATAATTCATATATACAAATCAAAATAAAATTCCGAACTCTCTAGTCATACAAAGACATGTCCTTTTTATTATGAAATAAAAAACCATTTCTGTTTGTGACCTATTTATATACCAGAGAGAATATTTTCTAGTACCAAGTTATGCTCAAATCTAGATTTAAGAGAAATAATAGAAATTTCTATCAAGTTTTAGAGTTGTTCTTTTAGACTATTAGTTTCTGTATGACCAGCGGGTATTGCAAAAATTTTGGAGCAAACTGATGGTACGAAACTGAATGGCCAATTAATTATGTTCAAACTCAGGTAGGCTAATAAATCCAATCTTTTCTTTTTCATAGATGGGACAGAAGCCAATTTGTGGAAAGATGGATACACAAAAGGGGATAGGCATTGATTCATTCGTTCTAGTGAAAACCTGAGCATGTGGCATATTTGAACTTCTGTAATACAGAATCCCATCGATATGAAAAAGAAAAGGAACTTCACTAGGTAGCCAATACTTTGCACAATAAAGTATAACAAATTTAAATTTTTAAATTTTAGGACCAATGGAAGGGTCTTTACTTCACATGTTCCTAATGTTCACATAGTAGATTTTTAAACATTATAACGTGCAAAAATAAAAATAAAATAAACCAGGGCATTTCTTTCTTTATATGGATAACTCAAAGACTTTACTAACATATGCGCCAAGGAGGCATAACCCACACACAAGTATTGCTCTTAAAAGACGGTAGTGAACTTTGTATGAAGGTTTTATAGCTGGAAAATGATCTAAGACAAGGCCAATGACATTAATTTTTTAACAAACAGTAGTGTTCAGTCAACTGTGTAATTTCTATAAAGAACTCGATCATAACTGAAAAATGATGTAAGACAAGGCCTACCATGTTATTTGTTAAATAAAGAAAGGTTGTGACTCAATATGTGGGAATTTTAACCAGTGAAAATTCATGAAAATAGATTAAAAAAGCAGTATCAAACAAAAACATGGATTCCATTGCTCAAAAGCAATTTAGGAAGCCACGTGCTACACCATACTCCAGAATCTCAGAAATACAAATTCTTAGTTTCCAGTCTAGATTATGATAAAGGATATGTAGAACGCCCTCTATCAAGTGGGTTTGACCTCTTACACCAGCTTCAATTCATCCAAACAAAAATATATGAGTAACCATGTGATTTGGGAAATAAAAACAATGAAGAACTTATGTGGTAGAGTGCTAACTGGGTGCCACAACCCTATATAATCACAACCATCAGCATTCTGCATTCTATTGATCTTTTACAAGCAGTGCCTTCATTTTACTAAAAAGACATAACAGTACCTTAAGATGTTTCAAACCATTAAAAAATTATGTTAAATCAATAAGGATTAATGGCTTGGTTTCTGTTCACAACCACCTTCATTTACCATAACGAAAGGAGATGTCACATCACATGCATGAGAACCAACCAAATATCAGGATATCCAAAATTTTCAACTCTAATTACAATTTTGGTTAATGTGATCTTATCTGCAGCACATAAGTATTTCGTGCTTTCCTCATTTCCTCTCTCTAGGAGGAGGGAGTGACCTTGGCGAGACACGGAAAGTTTAATATGAGTTCTCTCTTAGTAATCCGAAGCTAGAGGCTGCAATCTAAGAAAAAAAGACTAGAAGAGAATAAGATTAAATCACATAAGCCCTAATCTGTCTTTATGCTTTGGGCTAGCATGTGTGGCAATTCAAAGTCATAAATTTGCTGCTTTGTTTATATGCAAGATAGAGCATTCACTTTCCCGTGGCTGAATTCATTTTTTGGGACATCAAAAGTATATTTGGGAGTTGTTAATGGGATATGTTATAACTTCAAGTAAAAATTTGTCAGTTCTTAATCTCGTGAAGATTTTCGAATGTACTAGAAGCTGGAAATTGAAGAACTGATTGCAAATATAAAAATAAATAAAATTTCTTGGCAAGTGACTCTTCCTTTAACTCCATCTAGAATATCGAGAGGATACCTCTTTTCACATTAAACCCACAGCTACAATCTACTAATAGAAGTAACAATGCTTAGTTTGCATACTCCCTCTCATAACTTCGATCTTCTTTTTTATAACATTAACGTACTACTTCTTTCTCATAAATCTGTGGAAAATGTTCTCTTTTTCAACAAGCAGATTTCTGTGATTGATAGATTGTGAAACATGTGGTCTTTTCAATTGTAGCAGAACTTCTGTAATTGACAGATTTAGGTTAGTTTTTCCTTTTTAAACATATTTGTTTCCTGATTTATCGGATTAGATTTGATTCAATTTAGTTAGTTATTTTTCCTTATACGGTCCTTTGTAACAACCCAATAAATAGCTGTGTAATATTAGTGAAATCAATAGAGAATACAATTCTATTCTCCCCAATACCTTCTTTCATCGTATCAGAGCCAATTCCCCACTGGAATTGGTAACCCCACTGGAATTGGTAATTCTTCTTCAGCCTCCATTTCTAGAATTTCAAAACTCTGGCCCTCTATTACTGATTTCTCAGGCCTGTGCAGTCAAACATCTTTCCGACACCTGCTAACACCAACACCAGCAGAGAATCTGTTGTCATAACTGCAAATCACCAACCAAAAGCTAAAGGGTCAAAACTTTCTCTATTGGTTCCAATCTGTCAGTTTTCCATTAGAGGCAGAGGAAAACTTGGCTATCTGACTGGTTCATCCAAAGCTCCAGAGGAGAGATCCAACTTATTATACATGGTCATTTCATGGCTCATTCCATGGAGCCGGAGATTGGTAAAAACTATCTATTTTTGCCAACTGTGAAAGACATCTATGATAGAAAACAGGAGACATTCTCTGATCTTGGCCATTTAGCACGGACGTACGAGATTCAGACTTGAATACATGACTTGAAGCAAGGAGATCTCAATGTTACGAGGTACTACAATGCACCAAAAAACCTATGGTAGGAACTGTGCCTACTCTATGATTTTGAGAAGAAATGTTCAAGTGATAACTCACAATATCAGATAATGGTGGAGAGAGAATGAGTATTCAAGTTCCTTGCTGGATTAAATAATGAACTGGATGAATTATGGGGGTGCATACTTGGGAGAAAGCCTTTGCCCTCAACCAGAGAAGTTTTTGCAGAAGTTCAAAGGAGGAGAGCCGTCAGTCGGCCATGATGAATGTTGATTCCCCAACAGTCCAAGAAAATTCAGCCTTGTTCTCCAAAGGACCGAATATCAATTCCTTTGGAGAAAGGAAGGGAGAGAGAAGCTGGTGTGTCATGAAATCGTTCTGGTCAAACGAAGGATAAATGTTGCAACTATGCCCCTGTTTGACCCACATTATTTTTTTCATTTTCATTCTTCTGCTCATTTTCAACCACACATTTTTCAATAAAATAATATTTTTCATCACATCAATAACTTTTCCTTCATTTTCAACCACATATTCCCTATCACATCACTTCAAAAAAATGCATTCTGTCATTCTAATGTGCACCAAACAGGCTCTATATGGTAAACCAGCAAATTCGAAAAGTAGGAAAGCACAAAACAGGGACACCCGTGGAATGCAAGCCATGGTTGATGTACCTGCAAATACTGGAAGTATTACTGTGGCTGGAAAGTCAGAAGGGACATCAGAAGCTATACCGAATTCTAGTAAGGAACAAATGGAACACCTTTTTGAATCAAACTTACCCCAATTCGTACCATTCTTGCTCTGTAGCTCAAAGATGTAACCTCTCGACTTCATTTAATGTCTATACCCAAAGGAACAATTCCAGGATCTTTGATTCTGGATCTTGGATCATATGACCAGCTTGTCAAATTTGTTTTCTTCCTATAGTTCCATCTCTTGGTAATTTAAAAATAGAAGTTGCAGATGTATCTCTTTCACCCATTGCAGGAAAAGAATTAATTTGTGTGTCCAGAAATCTTGTGTCAAATTCAGCCTTCCATGTTCCTCATTTGTCTTGCAATTCGTTATCTATCAGTAACTTAACCAAGGAAATTGTGTTACTAAATTCTATCCCAATTATTTTAAATTTCAGGAACTGCATTCGGGGAAGACAATCGGCAATGTTAGAGAGTATGAAGGTTTATACTAGTTAGAGGACGAAGCAACTATGAGTGGACAAGCATAAAAAAGTTGTGAATATTCCCATTCTGTTGAAAATGAAATTATGTTGTGGACCTGTGGGATCGTAGAATGGGCCACCACATCTTTCCTATTTAAAAACATTGTTCCCTTTATTATTCAAGAATAAGAATATTTATATGTTTCAATGTGAAATTTGTCAATTATCAAAACACCAATGTTATGCTTTTCCTTCACAACCTTATAAATAGCCTAAACCCTTTTCACAAGTACATAGTGACATATGGGGTCCATCACGCACTACAACCATTTAAGGAACTCAATGGTTTATCACCTTTATTGATGATCATACACGTGTATGTTGGGTATACTTGTTGAAGGACAAGTCTGTTACTGAAAAAATATTCAAAAATTTTCATTCAATAGTAAACACAAAATTCCAGAAAAAAAAAGTCCAAATCCTTCGTTCCGATAATGAAAAGGAATATTTCAATACTATTCTCGGAAACTATTTGTCCACCCATGAAATAATATGTCAGTCCTCTTGAAGAAATGCTCCTCGGCAAAACGGTATTGTTCAGAGAAAATAAACATCTATTGGAAGTTGCCCGATCAATCATGTTCACTTCGAGGGTTTCTGAACAGTACTGTGGAGAGGCTGTTCTCATTGCCTCTTATCTTATCAACTCCATGCCTACTCAAGTTTTCAAATTTCAAATACCTTTACAATTCTTCTCCCAAATCTTTCCAGATACAAGAATTCTACATTGATCTGCCACCTGGATTTGAGAGAAGTTATGTAGCACATAAGGTACGTAGACTAAAGAAGTCCCTCTACGGACTAAAATAGTCTCCAAGAGCCTGTTTTGATAAGTCACCAAGTATATTCGTAGCAATGGATACTCCCAAAGTCAAAGGAATATGGAGATGGAAAGACTCAAAGGAATACTCGCCGGAGGATTTGAAATAAAGAATCCAGGTCCCTCGAAATACTTTCTTGGCATGGAGATTGCTAGGTTAAGGAAAGAATAATGCTATTTAACTCCACTGGGATTATAACCCGCGTCTATGTGGTATTAGATGATAGGCTAAGTAAAAGGTAGAATTAAATGACCCATTTAATTCCACTTATCATTTAATGACATATTAGCGTTAGATAGGCTGGGGTTATAATCCCAGTGTAACTAAATAGCATTAAGGACAAGGAAATATTTGTTTCCCAAAAAAAATATACTCTTAACTTACTTAAAGAGACAAGTATGCTTGGAAGTAAACTGGCAAAGAATCCTATTGACCCCAACCACATACTCGGTCATGAGATCAAAGGAGTGAAAGGAAACAATACCAAAGGTTAGTAGGAAAATTAATTCTATCTATCTCATACAAGGCCACACATTGCCTTTGTAGTTAGTGTAATCAGCTTATTCACGCATTCTCTTGTCTCCTGATGAGAAACACTTTTAAGCTGCATACAGAGTCCCAGAGTATCTAAAAAGAACTCTAGGTAAGAGCTTATTCTTTGGAAAAATGGTCACATGCAAGTGGAAGCTTTTACGGATGCAAAATGGTTTGATTCTATCATTGATACACGATCATCATATGGATGTTAGATCTATGTTGGAGGAAACTTGGTGACATGGAGAAGTGGAAAGCTATCAATAGTTCCAGGGAGCAATGCTGAAGTGGAATTTAGAGCAATTGCATGAGGAATTCGTAATTATTATGGTTACAAAGGTTACTTGAAGAACTAAGGGTATCTATGACTACTCCTATGAAGTTATATTGTGATAATAAAGTGGCTATAAGTATTTCTCACAACCCACGATCAAACAAAGCATGTTGAGGTGGATCGCCATTACATCAAAGAAAACATGGAGAAAGGTGATTCGTATGCCCTATGTACCAGTGTGAAACAAGTAGCCAATGTTCTTACAAAAGGACTTCCAAGACAACCATTCGTGTCAATAACTAGCAAGCTGGGGAATGATCGACATACTTGAACCCGAGGGGGTGTGTGGAAAAACTGATCTTTTTTTTATAAGTAGATTAGTCTAAATGATAGATTATGAAACATGTGAATTTTTTTCAATTGTAGCAAAATTTATGTAATTGACAGATTCAGGATAGTTTTTCCTATGTAGACATTTATTTTCTGGTATATAGGATTAGATTAGATTAGGCCCGTGTTCAATACTACTAAAAAATCTAATTAAAATCTAAGTCAAAGTCAACAATTAGTTTTAACTACACATTTCATAAGACTCAGAACTTTTCAACTACACATTCCATCAACTTTTTATCAAAATCTGCTAAAAATATTATTTTAATCTCTGTCAAACAGGGGCTAGATTTGATTAGTTATTTTTTCCTTATATGTTCCTTTGTAACTACCCTATAAATAGTTGTGTAATATTAGTGAAAATCAATAGGTAACAATTTTAATCTCCCCAATACCTTCTTTGAAATTTTCAAATAGAAAAGTTCACATAAACAAATTAGCGCTACATAGACGAATAGCAAGCCCATGTTACTTGAATGAAACCCCAAGACCCTGTTCCACTGAATCCGAAGGTCCCAATATATGGCATTTGACATGTCCACAATATAGGTGCACAACCATACATGATGTACATAGATGAGTTTCAGCAACCTAGTCCATCTTACAAAATCAACACACTTAAAGATGATACCCAATTATAAAACCACACAGGGACTTCTAGTCTTCTACTTTATCAAAACTGCAAGTGATTTGATTAATGTCTCGACGGTTTTTGACGGAATAATTGCAGCATTTAGCATCACAAAATACAAAAGCAAAACATAACAGCATACCTTCCCTGCTTTCTTTGAGCGACTAGTTCCATAAGCTACAAAATCATTTCCAACAGCATCAGAAACAGCCTCCTCAGTTCCCTCAGCAGTGGCTTTTTCAATAATGCTGTATCTCTTCTTCTGCAAAAATTTAATGAGAGCCATGAGAGTGTTGTGGCTCATTTTCTTCGATTCAAGATCTGCACTCTCCTCAGAGTCCAATACATGCAGTGGAGGTGAAGATTCCATATCATCTGACATGCCAGAGGAACCTCTTGAAAGATCTGGAATCTCCCCAGTGATATCCGGGTACTTCTCCGGATCAGGCATTACAGATGACTTTGGTAGTATGATGGATGGATAAAATGAGAGAACATAAGTGATTTCCACTTGAGATGCTACAAAGTGTTCCATGGCCTCCTCGTAGTTTCCGTTTTCAAACAAATAGTGAGCATATCTGTACGTGCATAATAATTCAACATCACAATTTTGCATGTGCAATAAGTTCCAGGTGAATATTCAACAGCATTACTTTACATATGTCTAGCTTCCAGTTATCTCTTTCAAATAAAATTGTCCTGTCAAAATAGCTTAGAACATACACTAAATAAGTAAATATGCAGTCAGTCAACCTGCATCTGTTCTCCAGTCATTTAGCGTCTCAACATTGTTGTAGTCTCTTGAATCAACATGGCACAGGGTTATTATGATTTTTTCTCTCTCTATGTTCCTATAGATAATTTCTATTCATCCAATCAAAAAATAGACTTCTTTATGCCATAGAACAATGTATCATAGTTCGCAAGACGGCATTAATAGGCATTGCAGATATCCTGTTAGGTTTTTCCACATTACTAGAAGTAATCCTGAGAATTCAGACTGCTCTTGGTAAGCCACATAAACCTTTGAAAAAATTAAGCACATTTTGCCTGTTTCAGCTATATTATTTGACTCAAGTGTATAAAAAGTAATGGAGTAACTGTCTTGCTAGCTTGTTATATTCACTCATACATAGCGTGCAGACTCAGAGAATTATAGCATAGGATAAATACAAAATCCCAGCCTACACAACTAATCACATTTAATTACTTTACTAGCTCCACCTTCCCATTTTCCAAAACAAAAAAGAGAATATACACATGGATGCCGTTTGAAAAGCTTCACGGAAAATATTCTATATGAGACATCAGATCGGCTTAGGAAGCTGGTATTTTGACACCTCTTCTAGGCCCACTGGAGAAAATGAAAAATCGAAAAAATTCTAAGTTAACAAAGACATGGTAGTCGTGTGATACAGATGAAACAATTGTGGAATGTGTTCGTTGTTTCCTATCTAGCAGCATTGATGAATATCAACTCAGAAGACCTGGGTCACTACTGTAATGTCCCAATGCCACAACTTATATTTTCTGATCTTCAGATCAGTTTCATCTGTAGCTCTAGTTGAAGGAATCTAGGGCTTGACAATTTTTTAGCTTTTGTGCAAAATACAATTGATCCAAATGTAGCCCCCGTTTGGGCTCCATTTTAGAAAAAATACATTTCCCTCTATCTTATTTTCAACTATACATTTTCCAATTTTTTAACCACACATTCTCCAAAAAAAAAACCACTATTTCAAAATACATTCTTTCCCCAAAATCTATTTTCAATAAAGCCCAAATAGGGGCGTAATTATATTGATCTCAAACCATCAAATATGGGTTTGTATTTAGATATGCAATTATCATCCAGAATAAATAGTAGAACACACTTCTTTCTACGTGAACATATAAAGTTACTTTTAGCAAACTTTTTATCTGTTAGTATTCTGACCGATTCTTGTTTCAATTTAAAGAATTATCACTCTAAAGATTGGTTATCACACAAACTATTGAACAAAGTATTAGAATGACATTTTGAAGTTAGTTCAAAATATTCAGTTCCTCTGGTCCATTTGATTTAAGGTCACTTTCTTTCAACGTGTTATCATATCTTATTCATTACTTTCAGTTTTGGTGTTGTAACAGAAATAACATGAAAACATTGGTGTCTTTTTTAAAGTTCTAATGGTATTGAGTTCCTTATTATAAAAAAATACATCTTGACTAATATAACTATGTAATACAGCTAAACTTTTTGGGGTCCAGAAGACCAAACACCTACACCAAAGGCATTGGCCATCTTATCCTAGACTTAAGCTAAGTGATTATGCATGGAAACATTTTTCTAAAAGTCTGTTACCGATAGGTGCAACTGATAGACTTAGAAAAAGAAAAATAACAGGTTACAAGGGCATACAACTACCTTATATGAATTGACTGCTCCTTTGAGGCTCTAAGGCTTGAATCTTCTCGCGGAAGTAGTTTGCACAAAGCCAGTGCTTCCTCAAAATCGCCTGATGCTGTTAGTTGTACAATCTGCGGGAAAAATAAACAATTTTCATGTAATTTTTATTAGGTTCAACAGTGAGATAGATTTTCCGGGCTCTTTCAACCAGTTAGTTCCACTTTAAAAACGTAACATTCATATCATACTATAGAATCTTCTTCATTCGAAAAGTTAGAGAACAGGAGGGCAGGAAAACTTAAAAACTTCAATTTCTATCATGCTTTGTCGTAGACAGTCATTATGTTACATGACCAAACCATAATAAACTTGTTGACATGACATTGATACAGAATGCTGTGTTGTTTTAGACACAACATCTCTTCAAGAACTAGCAATCGCCTAAATCATAAATGGACATAATGAAGGAAACTTTGCTGAGACGATCGATTTTATACTGGTTTGTCAAAAAGGGTCATACTAAATTGGTTTCATGGTTCCCAACACCAAGTTCCTAACACTTTGCCATTGCAATCACAAATCTTCATGACAGAACAGACTATCAGAAATACATATTTCAAAAAAAGATGGAAGTTCATTGGATTCTCTAGATTTTGTTATATACCTGTGCACCAAGAGGAACAGGAAACAAGCCATAAACAGAATTGTCTACCGCTACAATAATAACATGGTTGCTTTGAAGGAGACAGCGAACATTTCGGAGAACAACCGTTTGTATCAATGGATAAGGAGATCGAAGGGACAGTATCTGCATATTCAGTAAAAATAGAACTGAAGAAGTGCAGACAGTAAAAGTAGAAAAAAAAAATCATTGTTTGAAGTTCAGGATACCTCAATGTGTCTTGGTAAGAGACCTACAGCATATGGCTTCTCAATGATAACGGCTGCAGGAGCCTCTGACCAACAAATCCTGCCTTCCTGGAGAAGCTTTCCATTTTGGTCAACAAACACACCAATATTATCCTGAAGGAAATGGAAACAGCTTATTTCTGTTATTTTATTGAGATGGATGCTAAAATACATTAATTGACAAATAAAGATGGATATGATATTGTAGTAGAGATATAACTATTCAGAACAAACTGAATAAAAGAGAGCAAAGAATTGATAATGGAATAAATCCTTCAAACTGAAATTATAACAAGAGTTTATTCTCGAATTGTCAATGCAAATGAACTTTATATATATTCTGTGACCATGCATGTTAACAATACGGGGATGCCGACAACTCTTGCATATTGATCATTTTCCCACAGAAATCATCTCCTGAGAGCAAACCCAGACAGTGATATGTACATATGTGCTGTATTAATCATATATCGAAGTGAACAGAAGCATACATAAGGTATATATGTAAAGGTTGACCATTTTCATGATTTATTTTCCCAGGTCGATCTCCACTCTCCATTGCTATCACAGATCATGAATTCCACCTCATATCAGACCCAGTGATTAGAAGCCCCAAATCTTATCCTGTGTAGTAACACTGGCTTTTGAATAAAAAACTCCAAAAGAATTGGGTATAATCTTCAAATTTTCCATGTCTCGCGAAGTTGCACTAGAAAACAAATTATTACCAGCAAGGACATGCTAAAAATGGTCATATGTGCAAGAGTTAAAGTAGCAATAAGTAAAACAGAACAAAAAAAGGTCTCCATCATAACAAGAGTATACATATGCCTTAACTAGGATAAGAGATTAAATTTGTGTTGGCTGCAACAGAACATCAGAACTGTAGAATGAACATCAAGGAATGAACTAAAAGAAACAGATCATATTTAACTTTCAAGCATGTTTCCTTGAAATAACTGCAGAATTGAGAAAAGAAAAGTGTTTGTATCTTGCCTGATAGGGTTATAATCTCAGTCAATCGATTTTTGAAGTACTGTTCAACTGTGCCTTCACAACTAGACAAACACTCGTCTTACCTTGCAAATAAATACTGTGCACACGCCATGACTGAATTTTTTATATAAGTCCTATTTCGAAAATAAGGCTTTAGAGAAAGAAAAAAAAAAGCTGCCTTTTTGCAGGCAGCAATAGCTGCCTCCTATTGTTTCAAAAAAAAAAAAAAAGCGAACCAGCTCGGCTTGCTAAGACTCGAGTCGAAAGCTCGGGTCGAGCCTAGATTTTTTAGCCGAGCTCGGTCCAAAAAAAAGCTCGAACCATTTTTACTCGAGCCGAGCCCAAGCTTCTAGTTTTGGCTCATTGACATCCCTACATGGTTGTCTATATTGAAAAAGATATATTTGATTAAGTTGAAAATGATGTAATGATATGTCGTTTTCAGAGTACGAAAACCCATAGAGAATTGTAAATATCTTTTTCATAATTTTAATGATATTGTGTACTTCTTTGTTTCAATGGACCCACTGAACTTACTTCGTGCCCGCAACCGGCCTCGCCAAACTCTTATTTCTACTCATATAAGGGAATATCTGATTATAAATTCCAATCAATGTAATTATCAGAGAATTAAATAAATCAATTCAGTGAATAATAAACAGGGTTGCCAGCATACCACACCGCAACAAATAAACAACAAAGAGATTAAAAAAAATTGCGAGAAAGTAGCAATAGAAGTATGTAATTGGCCGAGTTGATCCAACATAGATACTTTTATGTTTTGATTGTTGTATTATCCAAGCATGACAAGGGGATAGATTGTTTATTCTCATCTTGATTTTTATATAATTAAGTTTCTACAGAAACATAGTTCATTAAATCTGTATAGGCAACATTTACCTGAATAAACTATGATGGATTCCATCATTGTACATTGCATAAGTATTATATACACGCCTTCAAAGTGTTATACTCCGAATGCATCAAAAGGCATTTAAAGAACACTTAGATTGAGCCTTAAATGAGTTAAAGTCTAGTCTTGATATCATGTAAATTAGCTACCAATAAGAAACAAATTACCTTCCCCAAAAGAAGTTCTCCAGATGTAAGAGACACCACCAGAGGCGGGGCAATCCTACCTGAAGGAAACACCTCAGACAAGGCACCGTTTGTAGCATTCAATATCATATACTCTCTTCGGAATCCCACACATATATTCTCTCCACACCATGACATTGACTTAACTGTGTCTGGAACACCAAATTCTTTCACCTCAACAAAACCCCGTCCCCCTGCACAAACAGTGAAACCATCATGAGTTGGATCACCATATACAGCAGAACAGACGATGCAAAAGATATAGAAATATATTCGTGATGCCCACCAAAACTGAACAGCTGGGTTATCTAGAACCAAATAAATCAAGATATGAGTAATTAAGAGATCTAATGCTGCAGTAGATAACCAGAGCATACAAAGGAACCACATGATAAAACCTCCAAAGGAGAGAGAAGAATTTTCCACAGCTCAAAAGAAAAAACAGCAATGAAGTGGGGATGATTAGGATTTCACCAAGTAAATCAGAAAGAGTTTCTTTGAGAAGTTGGTCCCCTTGATATATAGTCATTAGAGTTTGAAAGTAAATCTTAATTCAGTAATACCTAGTCTAATTCATCCATTCACATCTGAGGTACCTTTCAGTATTGGGGCGATTGTAGTACTCAACACAATCTAGCTGCCTTCCTAGCCCAACTATAAGATCTTGATCTCACACCCAAATAACATAATTCAGGAAGTTGTCTTCCTAGTAGCAGCAACCAAAAGTAGAAAATAAAACAGAATGAAAAAATACTCAGACCCGCATCTTTTTCCTTAAATTTTCAAAGAAACTATGTGCTTTATAAAGCAGTTCAACCGCAAAAAATAACCAAAACTAGAAGAACAAAACCAAAGCAGTCAACATTTAATTAAAGTGAAGCATAACACTGGCAGGCTAGCATAAAATACGTCATTACCAATTATACAAAGCAGTCAATATCCAAAACGGTATCTGATCCGATGATTATACTTTCAGTCTGGCAGACTGTCCATGCAGTTTCCAAGCAAAATATTTCAACATAGACAAACTAAAACTAAATGCGATTACCAAAAAAAGGAATCCATCTCACAGAGCTGAACATATGACACACCATATATTGTATAACACGGCTCTGATTGAAACTCACTCTGTCATTATATAATTCGACTTGGTAACACTATAATCTTTCATTTGGCAGAAAGACGTTAGCAACTAAAAAAACGCTAAAAGCATGCTTAGCTTAGCTGAAGCTGAAGTGCTACAAAAGTAGCCAAAAACTAGCTTGTTTTGACGGTAAGAAAGGTCTTAAGTCAAGAAAAGACAAAAAAAAATTGGCTAATTATAGCGAAAAGAGCCTCCGCATTTTAAAGGTGTACCGTCGTGTCTGAAGATACAAACCCTCTTCTGCCGCGCAAAGCACAGAAACCCCCGCCTCTCGTCCCACGAGTATGCATTCGCACCTTTGGCCTTTGTAATCACCGCCAACATCTCCAAATTCGGAAACCGATGAAACGCGATTGATTCCGATAGCGAGAGCAGTAGCTCCCTCGACTTAAGCACCTCCATTGCGAGCATCGGTTTCTTAGAAAATCCATTTATCGTCCTTTCAAGAACGTACGGCTCCTTCTTCAGCTCCGACGCTTGTAAATGAAAATCCAACCTTGGAGATCGGATCTCGCCGGCGGAGGATTCCGGGGCGTAGATCTTCAACGAGCCGTCAGAGCAGGACAGGAGCAGCGTGGCGCCATACGATTCGATGGCGTCGATTTTGGTAGGGGAATTGTTGACCAATTGGAATGAATCGTAGGCGCTGTGCACCATTTTTATCGATTTGATTGAACTTTTCTCTGAAGTTTGTTCAGAGGGATTTTCGCAGTAGGGATCAGATGTTAAACGGTGTCGTATTCGTGGGGTTGATAATGGGGTTCGAAAAGTAAACAGTTGTTAACTGTTGATTGATGAATGTCCCGCGCTTTTTAGCGTTTTATATTTTCGTCGGGCTTGTTTGGAATTTGGACAAACTTTGATTGTTATTTTCCTTTCCCATTTTGATTCTTAAACTACAATGCATACATTCATGCATAATTATCATACTTGAGCTAATCATTGATCTGGACGGGCGGATCCAGCACTCGTCGAGCCGGAGCGACCGTCCGTGTTGGATCCGTCGAAAAAAAAAATTTAAGGAAGATTTTATATTAAGACCCCATTCGGGAGGGATTAAAAGTCAATTAAAATTGAAAATATGGCCGTTATTGGGTCCCACTCGTCTAATAAAAGTCAACAATAACGGCTCTATTTTCAATTTTAATCTGATTTTAATCCTTCCCACACAAGCACTAAATATATATAAATGTTAGTACATAAAAGTTATTGAATAAGCATTGTAGCTCAAGTGATTGAATGCTAACTTTCCACGCAAGATGAATGGAGTTCGAATCCTTCCACTATTTCTCTTTTTTTATAATGTGTTGACATATTATAATAAATAAATAAAAACTATACCAATTTTTAACCAATAAAAAATGTTTCTCAGCATAAATGCTACATGATAAAAATGTAGCTCAAATGGTTGTGTGTTAAGATGAATGGGGTTCAATTCCTTTCACTTTCACTCTTTCTTTTAATGTTTTGAAAAATAATAAATAAAAATTGTACCAATTTTCAATTTTTAACCAATAAAGGGTGTTCCTCATATTGTGAAGTGCCTGTTTTGGATTCAAAAGATTGTGGGTTCGATTTCAATCACCTCATCTCCTTCTTTTAATTTTTTTTTTTACAAGTTAAATTGAAAATCTAAACAATTATATATTATCAGTTTTCGTTTCCGAAATATCTTTTTTAAGAAATTTATTTACTCAAATTATTATTTCATAATATATATTTTTATTATTAGATTTTATCAATTTATTTTGTAAAATTAAATTTGGACAATTTAAGTACTCTCTTTTTTTCTTTTAAGAGTTCGAAAAATATTAAAGTCAAAAATAGTTCTAATTCTAAAAATTATTGTTTTAAAAATTTTGCATAAACTTCACTTAAACTCGAGTTTGTCTTTTCCGTTTAATCATGTCTTCGTCTTGTCTCGTTTAAATTCGTAAAAACTTGAAACTTGACCATCCATATATGATTGACAAATGTATTTTTTTTATTTTGGATTGTGTTAAATTATATTTTCATATGTATTAAGTTTTAATGCATTTATATATTGATTGAAATTTTTTTAATATTATTTATAATAATATTAATAAACAATCATGCTATTGCGATAGTCAATGGCCACCCTAGCTGGTCCAATGTCCTAGATCCGCCACTAGATCTGGACAAAGCATAGTGTTGATAGAAATTTGATCAGCAAATTTTACTCACTTAGCTATGATTTTCACTTCCTAAATTTACTAATTTTGATGCTCAAATTGAAGGAAGGAGAAAAATAATTATTTGAGGGGGAGATATTTGAATTGCTCTTCAAACGAGAAGTATTTATGAATTTTGTTCCAAACGTTGGAATAATTGGATCATTTTGAGAAAATAACACGAATCTATAATAATTGATTCAATTAAGAATCATGCTTTATTCATTGGTTCAAATACTTTTCATTGACAATCTAGATTAGAGAAATGGTTTATAAGTATTGTGCGAGACTTTTAAATTTTATTCTCCTCGCTTGCGTGTTGCACTCTGGTTGGGTTTGCAAATCACATTTTGAGGTTTAACAAATAATTCCACTAGTCTGATTTTATTATTTATATTAAGCTCTTGTTTGGTATTCATTATTTTCAAAATGCATTCTTCTGTCTCTTATTTTTAACTACACATTATTCAATAAAATAATATTACACGAAAATTCAAAACCTTTTTTATTTTTTAAGTACACATTCTCCAACAAAATACTATTCCAAAATGCATTTTGGGCAAAAAAAAAGGACTCAAACAGGCGCTAAATCTAGGAATTTAATTGTATTATTTTATGCTTTATGAACCTATTGCTGACCATTATCATTTTCTGTGCAATAATGAATTTTAATCTGCATTTTTTAAGGCTGGTAGCCTACAACTTTCCTCACGCGTGGGGAACACGTACAACTTTTCAACGATTATGATTATTATTATCATGTTTTAATGAATTATATCTCCCATCAGAATCTATAAATATGCCATTACTCCTGTTGTCTTTCTTTACTTTGCCACCTTATTTCTTTCGAGAGAGTTTTTGCCTAAGTTCGTATTATTTCCTCATCCTTATTCAACATCTTTCTTGCAATGTCTTCCCAAACAGTATTTCTGGAGATTATGATTCTATGAGTTATAGTTCTAGAGGTGATACTTCTAACACATCTTCTTCTTCTGTAGAAGTTTTGTATATTTATGTGCTTCCTTATAGGGTTGTTACCCATTCTGATATATGTGTTAACCCAAATTTTTTTTATTAAGCAGGAAGTTTTAGACCCATGGTTGGGTTAAGTAACCAGGTTTGGAGAACTCTTTAATATGCCAATTAACCTTAATGAGAGTGGTGGAAATGCTGTTGAAGCTTTAGGAATTTTCAACGATCTTTTTTAACAAGACTTGATCGAAATTAGGATCCTTTTTAACGTTCCCAATGATATAGAGCTATTACTTCCTGGACAGTATCAAATGACAAATCGCCCGTCCCTCACTATATAGCTATACATAAACATTCAATGAATGTAGGGTTCAAAGTCCCCCTTTCATCACTTTTTAGAGATGTCCTTTCCTCATTAAGCCCTTGTTTGAGCTCTTTTGTAAAAAAATATCTTTTTATAGTGAGTTTTTGAAGAATGTGTAGTTTAAAAAGAAGGAAAAGTTTTGAATTTATATGTAATATTATTTTATTGGAGAATATATGGTTGAAAAGAAGAGGGAAAATGTATTTTGAAATTAATGGAGCTCAAATCGGGGCTAAATATGACTTCTTCCCAGCTTGCTCCGAATGGGAGTTAACATGGTTCAATTTGAGTTGTTTATGCTATATTTTCAATTCAAACCATTTCATGGAGTTTGAAATTTTTCTAAACCAAACCAAACCATTTTATTTTTCAAACAAAGTCATTATTTGCGGTTTGGTTCGATTTTAATCCAATGTTTACCTATTGACATTATAGTAATATAGTTAAAATAAGTTAACATGTAAGTTTAAACGAGAACTAATAATGTTAAAAAAATATATAAAAAAATAATTAGAACTTTCAACTTTTGAACAAATATTTCATCAACTTTTGTCAAAATTTACTTAAAAAATTAATTTTTAGCGAAATCAAATAGGGACATGATTGTTTTCTCTACAAAATTAATTTATTTTCGATCTTCACCTCCATATGATTTGTGGAATTCGATCATCCCTTGTAATGTTTATTCACTGATATCATTTCTGTTAAGAAGAAAAATGGTTCACCAGAAAATATGAAGTTTTGAACACTTTATCCTTTTAACATATCTATGGATGTAATTTCATTACTCACCCAATTTTTGAAGCACGCTTTCTTGATGTCAGTTGCTCGATCCTAGCATATAAACATGAAGCTTCTCTCTCCATCCAACCCCAAATATTACAGTCCTCCATATATTTAAAGAATCTTAATCAAAAACAGAAAGCAGTACACCTTAATTTGCAGCCTCCACCACACTACACAAGGCCCACTTACAGTGTTCTTCAATGTGAACAATTTCGAACAACCACGAACCAAATCAAAGAATACGTAGGTAAAATGCACATACCGTAGATATATTAAGTTATTTAACCCACAGTAATATATCACCTTCTTGTTGGGTTTTTAGATACCCAATAAATTCGAGCGATGATGTTAAACTGGTTTTATAGTTTGGATTAGATTTCATAGGACTCGGCCGATGATTGAAGTAAAAAGTCGACACCACAATGAACGGACCACTCCGACAACCTAAGTGGTCCATTGAAAGTAGCCTAATTAATTAGAGTTGCTCATGGCCCAACCCAAATACTTTGGACGGCTTTTTTGGTTGAAGGCCCATTTAGTGTTACTTATTTGGCCACTTATGTTTAACCTAACTACCACTTATTTGGTTTATAAGTGGGTCGGTTTTCTTTGTCTAGCCCTAGTGTGAATTCTTGGAGCCGTGAGTTTGGGGAGAGAAAAGAGAGTTTTGCTGGTGCTTCCTCTTGCTTCGTGCTAACTTTTCTTCCTTCTTCTCGTAGCCTTAGTGGCTAGTTGGGGCTGCCAAAGATCACTCACACTCAGCCTTTGTGGCACCTTGGAGCAACCGGTTTGGTGGTTGTAGCTTTGGAGATTCAGTTGTTCATTGTGGTGTTGATTGGGTGGTTTATCTGAGTTCGATTTTGGTGAAATTGAAAGCCCAAATTACAACATGTGGTATCGGAACGAGGTTGAGGAGGATTTTAGGCAAGAAATCAACAAAAAAATCGAGCAAAAATCGGGCAAATTGCAGATTTCGAAAACTGCCCAGTTATTTTAGATTTTTCGGACCTGCAAATGCGATTTTCGGCCAAACCAGTGGCCGGTTGGTGAAACGGACACCAGTGGTGGACTCAGCAGGTGGAGGCAGTGCTGGGAGACCGGCGCGTGTCTGTCACGCATCGGCGCTTGAGCCCCACGCGCAGCGCCGATGGTGGCAGGTACGGCGCTTGGGGTCGAATTTCGGGGTTCACTTCTTCAGGCAGTTTCTTTGAGACATCGAGACGGACCCAACGGTGTTGTCGAATTTCAGTTTTGAGCATTAAGGTGAAAGTTGGACGATTTTGCCCTTTGATGTTCGGGTACCGAGTGCCGTTTCGTGTTGACGGAAGTTTTGGGACGGATTG